GGCCAGTTATAAATCTGGGTCGTTCCGGTTACGTAGACCCGACTGTCGTGGGAACGAAGGATTTAGGGTCATCATATGCGCCATCTAAGACTCTTGTGGAGATTTAAAAAACCACAATGTGGTGCCGCAAGTGCTTCGAGAAAAGAATCTGGTACAGACTTTAAATAATCGATTATGCATACATACATACATTAGCGTGCCTCACCAAACAAAGTTGCTGGTTTTTCCACCGGAATTATAAAATGTATGATATTTTAAGACTAGCGCAAAAATTATTCGCGAAAAAATGTTAAGATATTTGATTGTGTTGATAAAGTTTTTTAACAATTTTATGCAGACCTTATTTTATCATTTGAGGTGATTTTTGTTTTGAAAAATACTTATTCTTTAAAACTAATTTCACTTATAAATAATCAATTTTTGGAGGTATTTTCAAATCGGTACAGCTCACGCATATCTACATAAATAATTTTCCGAAATATTTTGGCGGAAGTCTAAAATAGTAGTAAACTGTATAGTTCCAATGGATAACCCGTACCGATTTTTTTTTGCATGGAGAGTGATGCATCCTAATGTACAGACATACATATATTCGACATTCGCAATCTTTTAAATAGGGTATCATTTTGTACTTATAGTACATTCCCACTGCGCTGAAATCTGAGATTTTGCGAAATCTTTCGAAATCCAGTGGGATTTCCCGTATATTTTCATGATTTAGATTTCTTAGATTTCAATCATTCTTTCGCTGAATTAAATGTCATTTTGGAAAGATTTTAGATTCTTTTCCTAAACAACTTTCTTCGACAAAAGAGACACGATCTAAAAATTTGTAAACATTTTCCTTACACGCTTAGTTTTACTAGTCTTTTTATCTCAAAATCCCCTGGTGAAGTCACTCACTCGCAACCTCTCAACGAAAATTGGCTTACATATTTTGACCTTCATAAATATGTACATATGTATGTATTTGACCCAGCCCGAGTGGCTCTTTTTAAATTAAAACTTTTTTTCAGACTGAATTGTCAACCGAAATCTAACATATAAACACTAGAAAACAATACTATTTCAATAAATTTAATGTATCGCGCCAACAGCCGGTAAAGCAAAAGAAACGCCCAAAAGATAAATTCATAAATCACGCATCAGATCACATTTATGCCAGAAATTAAAATTTATTCACCTCATTACTGTTTGTCACTGTCACACAGACATACACACACATACACATATGTACGACGTGCATGCAGAGCCACGAGGCTGATTAATTAAAAGTGAAGTGCAATATCTGAAAAAGACACATATGGCCCTTTGTGGTAGAACCACCACACCAAGCACCGCAGCACCACAACCACAAGCGTATGCAGCTGTGCTCACGCGAAAAATGAAAGAAAGCACACTGAAGTTAAACATTAGAAAAACCAAAGACAACTTACAAGCTGTTGAATAATGAGTGGCGCGAAAAAGTCAAAAAAAAGCAAGTGGTATTTGTGCTCGAATAATTGCATGCTCACACGCATGAAGGCAGAGGCACACATACATATACTACATATGTATGTATGTATAGAAGTATGCATTTTTTACACGAAATCATTTAGTAATGCATTTTTTTGTAGTGCAATTTTGGCGAGTGACTTGTTGCTGCAGTCGCCAGCAAAGGAAAAACAAGTTACAAAGCATGAGAAGACAAAATATTTTAAAGTGAGTGCGCTGCTAGCTTTCTAACACTACAATGTAACTTTTTGTTGCCTTAATTTATATATTTTTTTTATTCTCTCTTTCCCTTCGGCAGCAAAGCTATTTGTTTTGTAGTTTTTTTTTTTGTATGTTCGCCAGCGTGACAGTCAGCACAATGCATTTTTGTATGCAGCTGTCACTTTGACATCTTGTTTGTCGAATATTTTTTTTGGCATACTGTCAGTGAGAAGATTTTTTTGATTTGTTTCTCTTTGTGGTTGTTGTTGATTCTAAAAATTGTGAGTTGATTTAGTGCGTGCTGACGTTAACATTGTCTGCCGTACTGGTGACGTGGCCCTAAATTAAATTGGCCGCATGTATTTGGACATTTGGTTCATGTTTTTGTCATTGGCGCGAAATTTTATAGCAGAGGCAATAATTTCTGAGTTAAAATATGCAAAAAAATAGTTCAGCTCATCAAAAAGGTCATGCAAGGATATCAACGGCTTAGTAGAAGGTCGGCAAGCGGTTCCAAAACGCCCTATCTCAGCAATTTTTTCAACAATGTCCTATCCCATAACTTAATAAAAGAACGCCCTAACTCAGCAAATGGTCAAGAATGCCCTATCTCAGAATTTGGTTGAAGAACGCCCTATCTCAATGCAAATTCAATTTGTCGGTAGCTGAGATAAAGCGTTTTTGAACCATTTGCTAAGATAGGGCGTTATTCAACCAAATTCTGAAATATGGTGTTCTTGAATAATTTTCTGGGTAGGGTGTTTTCCAACCGGCTGCCGGGATAGGTCGATTTTCCACTAAGCCGTCGATATATAAAACCAAAGCTCAATACTTTGTACAAAGCTTAGGAAAATTGAACAAATTTTCAACTTTTTCGGCAGATTTTTTAGAAACATTTCAGGTACTCAGTTTTCAGTTTTATAATACAAAGTAAAACCTCATCACACGTCTATAAAAAAGCAGTGATATTCCATCTCAGAACACTTACTACCATCCACTCAGGAACTTCTGATATAAAGAAAAGTGTTGTGTCGCTGCTAAAGAAACTGCCGCAGCATGCAAAGCCACGATACAGTCAACTTCTAGGCGAGCGACGTACAAACTAATGAGGAGGGACCACCAAGAGCAAGAAAAGACAGCAGAAATTCGTTGGTGCGAAGGACTTGGAATGCTGGCAGGCAGCTACGCGACACGAGAATTCTTTAATAAAATAAAATAAGCCGGCAGTCAAACACTTTCAAGGCCAGGGCAATTTCTTGCAGAGACGAGGGAATCTGATAGCAAACGATTAGAGTATATTTGAGACATAGAGAATCACTTGTGAAGGCTTTTGAATACTGACGCAGATCATGCGTTGAATGAAGAAGGTTTCAGGCCAATGTTTACGAATGAAGTTCATGTCCCTCCACTAGACTAAGAGGAGATTACAACAGCAATATCTTAAAAATAGCAAAGCCCCTAGGGCCAACTGAATATCAACTGATTTCTTCAAAGACAACAACTAGAACTATTTGGGCGCATATCGCGATCTGGTCTGATGAATAAATGTCGGAGGCTTGCAAAAACAGTCTGTTTTGCCGAATCGACAAGAACGGGGATCCCGAAATCGACACACATCATCTTCTCGTTGCCTTCAAAGCCGCTTTTGATAGCTAGAAGAAAGTCTATTTCTACAACGACATGCCTAAATTTGGAGTTACGTTGTGCACAACTTTTGGCTCCATCCAATTTGGGAAGAAACACTCGGAGACGTGCCAGACCAAACAAGGTTTTTCACAGGCCAATTCATTTTCGTGCGAGTTCTTCAATCTGGTGCTAGACAGCGTGATACGAACTGCCAGCGGCGCCAAAAGCACAATATTGAAATCGTCGATTCGGCATGAACACCAAGTCAGCGCAGCATTCTTTAGCTTAGAGGAGAAGGCAAAGGAAGTTGATGCAGCGGTGAATTATGGTATTTCGAAAGTACCATCCTACGCAATGTCTTGTGCATTTTCTTGTTATAAACAAGTTTGAGCTTGCGTGACTAATTGTGGTCTGTAGCTTTGCAGCTGTTAAATGATTTTCATCATAATTTAACGGAGCAAAATTTTATATTGTTCTTCTTGAAGGATTTCGGCCGAGTCCCTACAAAGCGCGCTAGTAGTTTCTCTTCTGTTCCTACTACCGCAGCCAAGTGAAGTCAGGTCCTTCTTCACCTGATCTTTCCATCGTATAGGAGGTCTTCCTCTTCTTCTTCTGTTACCAGCAGCATATTCTATCCATTCGAATACTGTTGCTGTTTACCTTTTTTACCTTGCCCAAATAAAAATTTTCATGCATTCATAAATATTGGACGTAAATAATAAATGATGAAGAAGTTTACTTACATTGCGAATAGGTAACTCTGAACTGCTTACTTAATAATATATGTAAGTGCATGCATACTTCAAAGAGTAATATATAAAATGTATGTATTGTATGCCAAATCATGCATTTCATAGATAACACGCGTGCTTAAATATAACCTAAGCCAAAATCGAACTCTCTTTCATCAGCTTTGCTTTATGAGGCGCACCGTTTAATACATTAAAGCTTTTTTAAATCGCCCGTACGCCAGGTCGTATGAGTATCGTATGCTTCTCATTTTTAAAAGCTGATTTTGGTGTATTTCTATCATTTTTTTCTACTTTCACTATACGAACGGCCAAAGCATATGAGCTTTGACAGCTACATCTTTTCCGCATTTCACTCTATCTTTTTCTTCTATTTTTCACCTTTCTTAGAGTAAACAAATTTATGCTGCTCATTCCAATGGACTCATGCATCAGCAATGCGTAAAAGCACTCAATTTTCGGGCCATGAATATGCACACACAAATACATAGATTTGCATACTCTTATACTACGTCGACAATCGACCATATAGTCTGCCTGTATGTACATATATACCTGCACTTTCAAATCATTTCAATTCATTTCGCCAGCTTCTTAACCAGAGAAAGGAAATCAATTTCATGCGACAATCAATTTGCATGCGACATCAAAGTGATTGCACCGAAAAAACAGAGAAAACTGCGCACAAACACAAGACTCGAAAGCAAAATGCTTTGGTAGGTTTGTGGATAAAAACAAAAAAAAAATTCAAAAGGCCTTAAAAGATATCAGAAAATATATGCTAAATACTGCTGGCGCACCTTCTACTCCCGCATCTTACTGCTCATTACCCGCATCATTTTTTTTTTAATCTTTCCACTTTTTAACTTTTCTAATTCTTGTTGCTGTCTTTCTTAAGCATTGCCCCTTCCACACACTTCACTCACTTACCTCTCTAATGTCGATTTTGCCATCCTGATTATCGTCGTAAGCCTCCATGAAACAAGATTTCAGCTCCTCAAGCATTGTGTCGGTGACAGCCTAAAAATGTAGAAAGAAAGAAAAAAATAAGCACACAAATGCCGCACGGTTACAACAAAGCTAAATGTACACACATATGTATGTCAGTAATGTGAAGTGATATGTACTTGAAGAAATTGTGTGCAATGGATGGCAAAGAAATCAGTAAGGGCTCAAAGGATGATAAAGTGGAAATTCTCTTAAGCATCACAGTGAAAGTGCTGCTGGCTTTAGCACCATAAAATGTCGTAGGATTGGAAATTTTTTGAATGAATTAGATTTTTCGCCCGGAATAAATTTTATATTTTGTGTGAAGCTAAGTCTTAAAAATATGCATTCATATATTTAATGGAAAATTTTGGATTTTTTTTTTTTTTTTTGGTTAAAAAGAAGGCACCTTTCGCATTAATGATATTTATTATTTATTCTTCTTGAGCCAGTTAAGCCGTAGGGTTATTTATTTCAATATGTTTTTGCAGTAATAATATCTATAAATATTTAAAGCGTAATAAAAGTGGGGATTACTGAGCCTTGGTTGCACTAGTTTTCAATAACGTGCACCTTTTTGGATTATAAATATTCTATGGTTTTCTACAGGTGTTTATTCTCAATTGACTATGATATGATGAATAAAAAACAAGTAAGAAAGTCTAAGTTCGGGCGGAGCCGAACATTAAATACCCGGCGCAGGTATTAAATATGTTTTTTCACCTTTCCGAGACCTTCCGCTAGATGGTAAGCCGGGGTGTATCAATTTTGAGTAAATTAGCGTCCTTTAATTTCGAAATATTGAAGTTTCAAGCATTTCTGAAATTTACCGTTATATGAGAAGCGGCCGTTATTTTAGTCCGATTTCAATAATTTTCAACGTTTTGCTTACACGTGGCAAGCACAATAACCACACCGGGTTTGGTACAAATTGGTAGAACGGTTACCGATATACATATATGTGATCATAAGTGGGCGGTGCCATGCCCATTTTCCAAAATTTTACCATAAACGTATTTCTTGGTAAGGAATTGTTGCAAGTATCAATTTTGAATAAATTAGCTTCAATATTTACTGATTTATCGAAGATTTTGTATTTCTCTAAATTACCGTTATATGGGATGTGGGCGTGGTTATTGACCGATTTTAAAAAGTTTCGGCGATTTTTTATGCTGTACCAGGGCCAACAACTGTGCCAAGTTTGGAAGAAATTAGTGCGGCGGTTACCGAGATATACACATGTAACCATAAGTGGGCGTGGCTACGCCCATTTTCCAAAAATTTATAATATTCTTATTTTTCGTCGAAAAATTATTGTGAATATCAATTTTGAGCGAATAATCTCCAGTAGTTACTAAAATATCGCAGTTTTCGTATTTCTGAAAATTACCGTTATATGGGAAGTAGGCGTGGTTATTGAGCGATTTTAAAAATTTTCGGCCATTTAGTATGTTGAGCGAAGGCCAACAACTGTGCCAAGTTTGGAAGAAATTGGTGTAGCGGTTACCAAGATATACACATATAACCATAAGTGGGCGTGGCTACGCCCATTTTCCAAAAATTTATAATATTCTTATTTTTCGTCTAAAACTTATTATAAATATCAATTTTGAGTGAATTATCTTTAGTAGTTACTAAAATATCGCAGTTTTCGTATTTCTGGAAATTACCGTTATATGGGAAGTGGGCGTGGTTAAAGTCCGATTTCGCCCATTTTCAATACCAACCTACCTTGGATTAAGGGAAACCTACATACCAAATTTCGTTAAGATATCTCAATTTTTGCTCGAGTTATCGTGTACACGGACAGACGGACAGACGGACAGACGGACAGACGGACAGACGGACAGACGGACGGACGGACGGACAGACAGACATGGCTTAATCGATTTCTTTTTTCATCCTGATCATTTATGTATACATTTGTCTATATCTATCTCGATTCGTTTTGGCTGTTACAAACAACCGTTATGTGAACAAAATTAATATACCCTTGTGCACAAGTGCGCTCGGGTATAAAAACGACAAATAACAGAGTATCGCACTGTTTATGAATTTTTTAAGTCACTTCTTATTGATCGCCTGTTAGACTGATTCATGCAGCTGTGTAATGCAATTCATATTAAAAGATGCTAACTTTCCTAATTGCTCGAAGTTGTTATATTATTATTAGCTATTTCATTTCCTTTAGACAACGCTTACCTCTGGACTGATGTCTGTGGCATTGGCACTCGAAACGAATTCCCGCAGGAAGCCATCCAATTCCGTTCCTTCAATATAACCGTTACCTGAAAGAACAAGGGCGGTTTTGTTATTAGATTATATCGGTAAGTAGATAACTTAAAATGAAAGTACTTTTTTATTTGCTCTCTTAATATAAAGAAGGTTTTGAAAGCTTGAGCATACTGTTTTCTGATATAATCTCAGTATTACAGTGAGTGACATAATCATAAGATCACAACATATTGATAGCTTTGACTTTTTTCAGATTAATTTTTAACATTGTTTATAAACTCTCGAAAACATTTCAAGCCTTTTAATTAGATCGCTTATGCCGAATTTCCACTAGGCATTAAAAATAGAAAAAATTGGAGGCATTTAAAAAAAATGCTATGTGGAAATGAATTTTTATTACTATTTTCTTAACGTAAGGGCAAAAATATTTTTTAATGCCCAAATTTTTCATTACAGTTTTTATCAGTTAATGCCTAGTAGCCCATTCAATTTACGTAAAAATAATAAAATGAAAGTTTAAGGTATCTAGAACTTACCGTTAATTTAAGCTTTTTTTTGTAGGAAAGAAAACGACATAAAAAATTGAATGGGCTGCAAAACTGCATACCCAAAATCATTCTAGAAAACCTAATGAAAAAGTATGAAATTTTGAGGAAAGTTTATTGATTTTTTTAAATATTACATAAAGTTTGAAACTTGAATTTACGCGGTTTATATACAAAAAATTATTTAAAATTAAAAAAAAAAATTTACTACACTTACCAATATGTGGTGACCTAATACTTAGTGCACAAGTACGAAAAGGTATTGAAAATGTCCTTTTAAAATTGTATCCCTGAATATCCTTGAAAATTTTAAATTGTTATTTTTGAAAAAAAAATATATATTTTAAGAAGTATGTAGTATACACACGACCATATCCTTCAATTTCATCCTTCTAGCTTTATTAGCTTGAAAAATCAAATTAATTAAAAGGACAATTTCAATACCTTATCGTCCTCGCGAACCAAAAAAACTAATATTTGTTTAATTCTAGAGAATTTGCTCTTTCATTTGGTATCCACATTACTTTTCTACATTGAACTGCATTTTTTAAATAACTTTTTGAATTAATCATATCTTTTAAAAATCTATCAAAGTCCTTTTAATTTAAAAAAAAAAAATACGTCAGTAGCAGTTTTACTATATATGGTCCATACTTTGGCAAGCATATTGATTGTTTCGTGTGTTCTGAAGCTTGTTGTTTTTGTCGCACGGTGTTATATTACAGTGTAGTAGGATTATTGTATTTTATACTCCAAATTTTTTTTACTTTTCAACAAAAAAGTCGCCTTCGTCCCCGATAAAATCAATTCTTACTCAACCTTCTTATTTAATACTCACCATCTTTATCGTAATGTGCCCACACGTCCATAAATTGATTGGCTGATAATTTCTTTAGCTCACGCGATTCTGGATCCCGATATTGACGCATAAAATTGTGTGCCTTCTCGATTTGTACGCGTTTGGCGGCAGCTGCAGCGGCAGCAGCTGAAGCGGTGGCTGCACTAGGAGATTCCATTGCTAAGTGGATGAAACTGCTTTCGCTCTGCAACAACAAATCGGCGTTTCACTATTGACAGAGGTTTACCAGGCGGTTCACTTAGACTTCGACAGTAAAGTCGTCTGCAAAAAGGAGATACAGAAGTATGAAAAAGGTTTAATATTTTTAATGGAAATAGAGAATGTGTCAAAAGTTGAAATGTAATAGCTACGATTATGTTTCCACTGTCTTCGAAAAACACAATATACCAAAATGTGACAACACCAACCGCAAAGTTAAAATTGCAACTTTTGCTGCTCCGCTGTCACGAATTCTGCAAGCAATTGTCTACGCACCACCGACAAACACCAGTGCTACCATCATTAGTTTGCTGTCACTTGCAAACCCACTGGGGCAAGAGTGCTCAAGTGTGGGCGAAGTGAATAAACGAAATGGTAAAATGGGAAAATCGAAATGCGTGCAACAAGAAAACAAACAACACAGAAGCAAAAAGTTTACAGACGATGGTTTTACGCCAAGAATTGTTTAGGAAAAAAGTCTCGCAGTACTAAAATTTGCAAAGTGTTTGCCAACATCACTTTTGAGTTCTCATTGCTACAACGCTACGCTTGAAGTATCACTCGCCACTGCGTAATGGGATTAGAGAGCACGCACATCCAGAAGCGCTGGGCTATGATACCGTGTCGTGTGTCGCATGGTGAAGTAAAGCCTTGATTTAGAAATTTTTTCTTCGTGCGAAAACACGCATGTAGCTTGAGTATCTTAGTTGCAGTACACCAAAGTAAATTTGCTTCTACCCACTTTTACATAGTACAAAAGACACCTGAGCCCCATGGAAAAAATGGAAGCCGCAATAAAGCATTGACATTGACAAAGTGCGCAAGTGAGTTGTGGCTAAATTTTAACGCACGCGGCAGACGTTTGTGTGTACATTAGGGTGGTCTAAAAATGCATGAGGGGGGAAAAGTAAAGTCGTAATTTCTATGCTTTCATCCTTTAGCTTGTTCTAGACTGAAAAAAATCTACCACTCTTTTTTATTTTAAAATCAAAAAATATTTAGAGGTCGCTCAAAGTTTTTCATGTATTTTATATAGGAAAAAATAATTCATAGAAATGGTATAGAATTCTTGAAAATCAATATTTCTCGATCGGAAACTTTGTTTCTGTTCAGGAGATTCCCAATAATAATACCCAGATGTTTATTTAACCATTTCTTCACAGTAACTATATTTTATACGTCCGCCAAAAACTTCACAATATGCAACAATAATCTTTAGTATTAAAAAGTGATTAAATAAATAATTGGGTATTATTATTAGAAGTCGAAAAGATATTGATTTTCAAGAATTCTATACCATTTCTACAAAAAGTTGTTTTTTTCCCATATACATGAAATACATGGATTTTGATTTAAAAATCAAAAATAATGGGTATATTTTTTCGATATAGAAGCATCCTATGAGGTGAGAATATTTATATTCCGACTTTACTTTTTTTTTACCACCCTATGGTACATACGTATACCTACATTTGCATTTATTTAGGTACTTGATGGTTGCATAGAAAGTGTGCCAATTCATTGTGTGAAATTAATCCCGACAATTGTTGATCTTAAGAGTAAAAAAAGCGTACACGCTAAGCTATATAGTACATACATACATATGTATATTGAATTGGCGTTAAAGTAGAAAATTAAAGAACATGCAAGGATTATGGGTAATTTGCTTTATTTGTAAACTAGGCGCAGTGTCACACGCTCAACATGCGTGCGAGATTTTAGTGTGCCGTTTTAGTAAAGCAGCGTCTTAAGCGAAACCGCTTTTTCTCATCCCTAAGCAAACCATAAAAATTGGCATTTTCTATGGCTCCTACCAAAATATATTTTCTCAATTCGGTTGATTATGCCTATAAAAATCGAGCTGTTCTTAACTAATTTTTTTTCTTCAGATACCCTTCTTTACTTATAATAAATAAACTTTTTGGTAGCCTAATGTAAACTTAAGAGATCTACACAAAAATATTATATTTCCTTCCGACACTTCATTGGTTGTCTAGTTTGAGTGGTTTATCACCCTGGTGATAACCAGTGGTTATTAACCACAAACTCGTAGACTCCGGCCTTATGGTCGGGTCATTGCATCCTTGGTCAGAACCTGTCTGTGTTCTTTGCAGAATGCCGTGAGGGTGTAGAAACATATATGTACATTTGCATAGAAGTTTTAAACTCTGTATAAAATTGAGTAAAAATTCTCCAAAATTCTAAACTTTTATATCAGAATTTTCAGAACATTTTTTGGTATGCAGTTCTATTTGATATTTTAATTGAATAACCTGCAAGGTTACAGTTGCTAAAAAATACCGTTGATTTTTGATAATTTTTTTCTATATAAAAAAATTTTCCAATATATTTTGTATGAAAGCAAATGCGTAAAACCGTCAGCAAAAACAAATGTCAAAAATCGACATGATTTTTTCGCAACTTCAAACAAGCCTTCTATATAGGAACCAAATCAAGGTTCCCAAATATCTTGAGTAGACCCCCTGATTTCGAATGGGCTGTGGGTACACCAGATCTGTCTGGTAGCCTATAAGTCCTGTACAGCTCCGTATTTGCTTAGATTTCGAGCTAGATTAAGTTAGGTTAGGTAAGCGGGCTGCCTCCGTATATGGAGACACACTTGCACTCGACTAAGCTGTCCATTGAGATGCCCTTAGAGGGGAAAGGAAAAAGGACGTAGGGAGACCGGAAAAAGAGAGGAAGGGTTGGGGAAAGAGGAGAGAAGCTAAAGGAGAATGACGACAACTATGGCTTTATGTCGAAGAAACGATTAATAATCGATTAATGAAACAAAAGATTGCGATGCAATTAAATCGTAAGTTGGACAAAAACAATTGATTAATTTAATCAAATGATTAATCGCTGGCATCTCTATCGATACTCTCTCTCCCTAGTTTAAAGCAGTCTCGGATTCCTCGACCCTGACATTTGAGTACTTAGGATGATGTCCAATGACTCCCCGGCCGACTTGATACATTATTCATTCAATGAAACATTTAAAACATTTTAGCTGAAACACTTGGAAAGTGTATATTTCCCATATTTCAGGTTTACATAAAAAGAAATTTACTGTTCGATTATTTTACAATAGTTCAACTTAACAAAACTAAAAATATATGTATATAAACAGTCCCGGTAGGTTGGAAATAATGGCCACCGATTTGCAAATCCATTAAATAAATTATCATCCTAAATTTCTACTCCAAGCTGCATACATCCAAAACAAATAAATTCAATCTAATTGCAATTGTTAGTGACACAAAACAAACAGTGTTATCGTAATTAAATCTAAATTTCAATTAAGCACCCATACGCTACGGAGTTTCCAAAAGCTCTGCATATTATTGTAGCTTTTACAATTTGTTTTACAACCACACAATTTACCTTAAACGTATGTTTGTAGTCGTATTTATATTTGTACCAATATACATACATACATATTTGATTTCCAGCTTATGCATGTTTTCCAGCAATTTTCACAGTTTTTAACACAGCTTTTCAATTTGCTCGACAGGTTGCATGCAACACACTTAAACAAATCATAACAAAATCGAAACCAAAACAAAAGCACACAAACAAGCAAGAAAAAAAAGTGATATGAAAACATGGACTTGACATACAGCCGCCATTCATTGACGTGCATTCATTCACTCTATCAAAGTAGTCATCCATTAGCCGGTGTATATGTACATGTTAGTTCAGCTATTCATGGTATTCATGGTAGCAACTTGCTTGGCAACTTTCGACATGCAACACCACATCAGCCAAGGTAAATTAGATTCGGGGAAAAAATTGCTATCTACATACATATACACACATATATGTATGTAGAAAGTGTATAGAAAATTTCAGCTTTGTGCGGTCTGCGAAAGTAAGATAGTTAAGAAGTACTAACTTTATACCAAGCTGGCTGGAAACTATTTTATATAAGGTGTGTGACAGTAATTTTTCAGTGTGGTGTGTGAATGTGCAAAATAGTTGGAAGAAGTAATTATGGGTTAAATAATGTGAGAAAAAATGTCTCTTGGGATTAAGTCATTAGCGTTTAAATATGCTAATTTTATTTCATTGAGATTCATTTAAATCTTAATTCATTTCATCCAGTTCGTATGTATATGAGACGATTCACGCCAACCGGCAAACAGTGGTCGGAGAAGCCATGTTTTACGCGAAAAAGGCATATTTTAAAACTGTGATAAACTAACTGGAATAAAGCTATTCTTATTCAGAAATGTCCAACGAACTCAAAACTGATTAGTATTTTCAATAGTATCTGCTGAGCAAGCAGTTGAATCCATTTAATTCAACGAATTCGACTGTGGCACGTTCTAACAGTTATGAGTTGATAGCTTTCTTAATAATTTTTTTATGGAAGCTTTTAATTACAATAGTAATTGCTGGTTTGGTGTTACTTCTTAAACATGGATAATGTTGCTTTCATATTACATAATAAAACTTGGTCGCTAAATTATAAATTATTAACACGGCTTATTTTTCATGAAATTTTTTCTTCAAAAAGGTATAACTAATGAGTAGGGCCGAGTAGGATCTGTCTTACTTTTTACTTTTTTCTTTAAGTCACCTTGGCCAAATATTTTTTAAGTTTGAAATAAAAATAATTTCCTGATAACAAACATACCGCTTATCCAAATTAAACAAATTCGGTATCAAATGAAAGAGGACTAAAATAGCTTTAAAACTGAAATGTCTAAACGTTGAAAGCCATCTATCGGAAAATATTTCAATAAAAAATGTTATTTAATTACCATAGAACAAACCTTAGGAGAGGTATATGAATTTCTTTTGTATTAAATTATTAAAAAAATATATATAAGTAGAGGTGGTAACCTGCGTTGCTACATACAAGCATGTAATAAACAAATATTCGTATGGAATATTCATACAAAATTACTAGCATAGCAAACTAACATTTTCCCACACAACTACAAATAAAGTAGATGACGAACGCAAACCACCGCTAACAACAATAAAAACAACGTAGAGGCAACACGAAAATGAGACAAGCAATAAACTACATATTACATTGGCAAGAAAATATAGAA